AAAAAAAAAAAAAAAAAAGAACAGGAGAGGAACAAGATGAATGAAAAGGGGACAAAAGAGAAAAAACAAAGTTGAACTGTGAAGAGAGGAGTTGGGGAGGCAGGCTCAGGGCTGGGTTGCCGAGAAGTGTCCATCCTCAGAAGCCTGACAGCTGGCAGTTATGGGCACTGGCACCTACTGCGAAGGCAAGTGTGCTGTAGTTAAATGGCACTATCTGTGTCTAGTGGGGGAGGAGAAGTTAAAGGATTGGAAGGGCTAGTGACCTGTCTCCTTCAATAGGCTGAAAGGAAAATCAAGATTTAGAAAGCTTGCCTGGTAGCAGAGAGAAGGAAGAGGCTGCTTCCCAATCAGCTGCTCGAGATTCCCGAGTAACTCTGCGCCAGTTACATATCGAGAAGACCTGGACTGCTCTGGTGGGGGCAACTGGGATCAAATATCAGCTATTTACCTGGAGTTGAGGCTAAAATGGGTTCACTTTCTTCTTTCCCAACCTCACAGCAGGAGTCCCGACAGAGTACGAAGCAAACACTGTCCTGCAGCGCCAGATGTCTGCCATCCTGGCTTTTTTTTTTTTTTTTTTTAAGGTTCATAATTTATTGTACAAATTGAGTATTACATGATGAGTTGATATTAGCTCCTCCAGGCATGGGACTTAACAGATGAGGTCAGACACTGTAAAATCCTAGTATGCACAATGCCCTGGGTCTGATCTCCAAAACACTTATGCTGCTTTCACAGCTGGTGCTTTTTTAGACCTTAACTTGAAGTACAAGATAAGCATAGCAGTGCCTCCATATGTGGCCAGTACACAATTCATTCTACCTGTGAGAGTGTAAGAGTTGAAATACTTTTTGATGCCAGTGAACTGGAACTGGGCATCATGTTCTGGACCTGCCATGATTTCAATCTCGCCAGAAACACACCGCAGCTAATGTCCTTCAACCTGTACACCTCCACTGCCACAGCTCAGCCGGCCGTCCAGGCTTCTTAATCCAATTTTGCTACCAAACAGCCGAGTGATGGGGCGAATCATTTTACTGGCTCCACCCTATTAGAGCTAAAGTGCTCTGATTTACCCTTTTCACAAAGAAAATAAGTCTAGAGCTGGGCGTAGTGGTGCACGGCTGTAATCCAGGGCATCTCTTTCAAAAAGACAAAAAGAAAAGAAAGAAGTAAAAAGGTCTAGAAAATTTAGGAGGGGCCAGGGAGATAGATAGCTCAGAAGAGTAAGTGCTTGCCTGGCAAGCACAAGGGTCTGAGTTCAATCCCCAGTTCTGGAAAAAAAAAAAAGGGAAGCTTCTTTGTGGATGGTGGTTGTGAGGACTGAATGCAGGACCTCAGTCCTGCTAAGCAGATCTCTTTGAACTACTCTTAGAACTGGAAATTCTGGGTCAGAGAGATGGCTTAGGAGAATAAGCACTTCCCTGGCAAGTGGAAGGGCCTGAGTTCAATCCCCAGCTCTGCCAAAAAACCAAAAAACTGGAATTTTTTAAAAACATCATTTATTTATTTGGTGCAAGGTCTCAATATGCAGCTCAGACTCATAGTGGTCCTTCTGTGTCAGCCTCTCTAGTGCTGGGATTACAGGTGTACGCCACCATGTTCTTGGCCAGCATGGCTCTTCCAGGGTTCCAGGGCCAGCACTGCATGCAGACCAAAGCTGGGTCCTTACACTTGCCAGGCAGACGCTTAGACCCACGAAGCTATTTTTTACTACCAAAATTCAGAAAACATTTCACACAAGTACATTAAGTGTGTCTCTTTCACATCTGAAGATGTGTATTAGACACAACCATGTCTGTTATCAAGTTTGCATGTCTTTCTGCATCATGCCCATACTCTGGTGATTTGGCAGTAAGTCATTCAAGTTCATCTGTTTACATCCAAAGGCACCTACTTGGGGGAATTCCCCCCCACCACCACCAATCAAGGATTGAACTCAGGCCCTTGAGCTTGCCAGGGAAGCGCTTATTCTACTGAGCCATCTCCCTGGCCTGGAAATTTTTATTTTTATTTTTTAAAATTTTTTGTTTTTTTATTTGTGTGTGTGTGTGTGTGTGGCCAGCTCAGCCCACCAGGGGGCAGGGCGGGCTGGCATGTGGTGCTGGGGGATTGAACCGCGGTCCCTGTGCTTTGCTAAGCTTGTTCTAAGTAGATGCTTTAGACCACTGAGCAATCTCACCAGCCCCTGGAAAATTTTATTTTATTCTTTAACTTTTTTTTTTTTTTTTTTTTTTACAATTTCAAGTTGCCCAGGCTAGACTCAAACTTTTTTTTTTTTTGGTGGAACCAGGAATTGAACTCAGGCCCTTGTGCTTGCCACGCAAGCACTTATTCTACTGAGCCATCTCCCTGCCCCTGGACTCAAACTTGTGACCCTCCTGCTTCAGCTTTCAGAATGCTGAGAGTATAGGTGTGTGCCACCATGCCTGGCTTTTGGACATTTTCATCCTTTAGGAAAGCAAGCTCTTACAGCAGGTGTGATGGTGCACAACTATAATCCCAGCACTTGGGAGGCTGAGTCAGGAGGATCTTTGTGAGTTCAAGACCAACCTGGGCTACAAAGTGAGTTTAAGGCCAGAAGACCTAAAAAACTAAAAAGAAAAAAAAAAAAAAAAAGGAAAAAAGCTCTTAAGAGACAAACTTGAACTTTGCATTTGCTTCCTCTGCCTTTTTTTTGGTGGCATTGAGAAGCAAACCTAGTGGGACGCACCATACCACTGAACTGTACCATCTAGCTCCTCCATCTTTCCTTGGTGGGGCGGGAGGGGACACTAGGAATTGAACCCAGATACTTTACAGTGAGCTACATCTCCACATCCCCAGACTTCTTTTTTTAATGAGCAGAATATATTTATTGAGGGAAAGAAAGCTGTCCAAGAGGGAAAGGAGAGGGACCCTTCCCCCCTCTCAAGATTCAGCCTTCTTTTTTGAGTCTTGGTAAATTTCCTAGGTGGAACTTATATCTTGCCTCAGCCTTTCAGGGTGCTGAGGTCACTTACAGGCATATACCATGTACCACTGTACCCAGCTTTTTTTTTTTTTTTTTTTTTTTTGGTACTAGGAATAAAACTTGGGGCCTTGCATTTGTCAGGCAGGCACTGGATCACTGAGCTACATTCCCAGTCCTTCCTTTGCTTTTTTTTTTTTTTTTTTTAATGAATTTAGTAGAGTCTACAAGATCTCACTATATAGATAGGACTCATAGTGATCCTGCTGTTTTCAGCTTCCCAAGTGCTGGGATTACAGGTGCACACCACCATGCCCAGTCTTAGTCATCGATCAGCCCCATCCCTGTGTCTGCCTAAGCAGGCACTTTAATCCACTGAGCTATCTGGCTGGCCCTTCCTTTGCTTTTTTTTTTAATATATATATTTAGTACAGGGTCTATAGGGTCTCACTACAAAGTCCTTTGCATTCTTTTTTTTTATTATTATTATTTTTTAGAGAAAGGTCTACAGGGTATTGAGGGTCTCACTACTAGATCAGACTCATAGTGATTCGCCTGTTTACAGCCTCCCAAAAGTTGGGATTACAGGCATGCACCACCACGCCCAGCCTCTACTTTGCATTTTTTTTTTTGTGGAACCAGGGATTGAACTCAGATCCTTGCGTTTGCCAGTCAAGCGCTTATCCTACTGAGTCATCTTCCCGGCCCCTACTTTGCATTCTTAATGTTAAGAATTGTCCTTTATCTTCTTGGTTGAAGTTATTAGCATTGAATGTTCCCCATCTGATCTCAAAGATCATGGGATTTAAATCATCTGTGTTACACAGATTCACTGATAGCTGCAGGCTGCCCCACACCTTCCAGCCTCCAAACCAAACCAAACCAACCAACAAACAGAAAAGCCTGGTGGTGGAAGGTCCTAGGCAAAGGAAAACCTCGAAAACGACTGGACATCAGAGCAAATTCCTACCTTTGGGGAACACAAATTCCACAGGAAAAGCAATTTCCCATGGGGAAATGATGTTCACTAGAGGTTGTTTCAGGACAAAGCTGAATAAATATTTCAACACCTTATGTTCATCTTTGGCAGGAGATGTAGGTGGGATGGGAATCCCATATCACACCCCAGTTGGCTACTTAAGAGATAGGAAATAAAAAACACACGCGCACACACAAATATTTGGCTAGAATGCCTTTAATGAGGGAAGGAAAGACTAGTATCTCCTGTCTGCTCTTGACATTTCACTATGTTAGGAAGCGCTGGAGCCCACTAACTGTACTTTGGAAGAGAAGCCATTGATGCTTTCACGTCAGCATCAATCCACAGCAAAACCTTCACTTCCTCCTCCTCCTCCTCCTCCTCCTCCTCAGAACTCCAGTTCCAAAGAATCCTATGTTAAGAGTAAGCACTACACCTTGTTACATGACAGAGGCAGGGAGGGACCCCTGGAGCTTGTCTCTCCCCAAGTCTGGGAACCTAAGAACCAGACAATGGCAAAGACATAATCCTCAGTCCATGACCAGGCAAAAGGGGAAGAAAGCGAACTTGAGAGAGAAAGATAAGGAAAGTACAGAGTCAGGGGATAAAAGAGGGAGTTGATCTAAAACTAGAAGCACACTAGTGCTAGGAAATCTCCCATGACCCCTGGTGCACTGCTGTACACTACGTCACTACTAGCCCAAAAGAAGATTCATGAGGATGTTCACATACACAAGAATTCCAAGTCCCTTCCCTTATCTCAGTGCCCATTTTTCCATCATATATTCCCTGCAAGCCCTATGTTTTAGCAACACATCTCAACTTTCTATCATTACTTCATCAACTACCTTCACCAACAAAGCTCACACTTAGGATATGGACTAACTTCACATTTCCCCAAATAGGAGATCTCTTGACAAGAAATCTGCTGGTTTACCCATGTTGAGAAGCAGTGATAAATGAGAAGCTGGAGAAGTCCTGGCATCCTGATCAGTCAACACGGAGGCCAGGATGCAACTACGAAGGCATATGCTGGAAAGAGTCCTGTGCCCTTTGTTTCTCCCTACCACCTTTGGTTGGATGCCCAGTACTGGAACATCTTCATTGCCAGCACCTTCTGGAGCAGGAAAGCAAAAAATGTATGCTTTGCTACTTCTTTTCTAGGATGGGCTTTTTCTGCACTGTTTCAGGCTGAAATAAGAGGGGGGACTGTCTTCTCCTTGGCCTCCCTGAACCCTGTTGCTGGAGTCACCCTCCCAGCCATGGGTCCTGGTAGCGCCAGGCCTAAAGCGGTAGTGGAGGTGAAGCTGGAGCTCCAAGGCTAGACATGCAAGCCACGTGATGAGAAAGCCATGTGTTGTTGTAGAAAGGTATGGAAACCACCCCTACTGGCTGGGCAGGAAGGTCCTGGGACAAGAAGTCCTGAAGTGTGAACTGGCCATCAGTGAGAGTGGCACTGGGTCCTTTGCAGACAGCTGCCAGTCCCTTTGGGCTGGGCTGTGGGTCTAATGATGGGTGCTCAGGCGCACCTGCCAAAGGGAAAGGACTTACAGAAAGGAGAGGGCTCCCTGGGAGAATGTAAAAGCTGCACAAAATCTACTTCAGGTAGAAAGAATAAAGAAAGGAGAATTCCTGAGGAGGTCATCTCCATGTAAGCACAATTTCCAAGCTAAGGGATTAAGGGAAAGCCACTAGAGACATACCATGTCAGAACTCAGAGAAGAGGTCTTCCTATAGAGCTTTCAGCTTTTGCTCCCTGGGCCAGAGGGTAGCAGATACAGAAAAAGACTCACGGGATTGTGGGATCATCTTTCCGAGGGAAGGGGGAGAGCCCGGGGGAAGTGATGGAAGGTGAACAGCCAGGGACCAAGGAAAGAGCAGCAATATTCTGGGGGCCGTGGGGAGCAAAGGGCTGTACCTGGTGGTGAGCCAGCAGCATATGCTTCTTGAGAGTCGCCCTCTCAAGGAAGCCCTGCCTGCAAAAAACACAAGTGAAGAGTGGCCCTTCCTTGGGGTGGGTCTTCTGATGCTCTTCCAGAGCTGCCTGGCTAGGACAGGCCTGGCCACACACTTCACAGGCCTTCCTGCCACTGCTTTCTCCTGGCTCCTTTCTCATGGCTTCCGGCAAGCTCAGCTCCTCTACCAAAGGGGTGCTGGTGCCTCCCCCTTCTGGGTTAAGCGCTGTTGGCGGTGGGCTTGAGCTCCTCTCTGGTTTGTTTCCTTCTTCCAGGCCACCTGAAACATCACTGATCCCCTGCTCCATGGGCTGGGGCTGATCCAGACTGTCAGATGCTGGGGGAGGTGGTGGCAGAGAAGACTGCTGGGCTGCTTTCTCATTACCATCCAGCTCCTTCCCGGTGGGTGCTGGTGTCGCTGTTCCCACCTCTTCCTCCGCCCCAGATGCCTCTTCCGAGTCACCTCGCACTGAGATTGCCTTCTCACCTCCACTCTCGGAGCCTCTTCCTGCCAGGGAATCTTCGTCAGTCACATCATCCTCCTCTTCCTCCTCATCTTCATCTTCTTCAGACAACTCTTCTGGTGAGGGCTGCTGTGACTGCTGCTGGGGGAAGCTCCCTGTCCCCGAAACTGCACACTGCTCAGAGCCGTTCTCCTGGGCAGCTCCTCCACCCTCAGGGACAGTGGCAGCACCATTGGGGATCTGGCCCCCCAGATGCATCCGAACATGCTGCTGCAGAGTGACAGCATTAGTAAATTTCTTCTGGCAGATGGGGCAGGAGTTCTGGGCCCGGGCAGCTGGACTGGTCTTGTGGCCCACAAAATGTGCTCGCAGATTCCCCCGGGTGGAGAAGGCTCTGCCACACACTTTGCACTTGAAGGGTCGCTCACCTCCATGTTGACCGTAATGCAGCCGTAGGGCCCGAGGGCAGCTCAGCACCCGGAGGCAGATGACACACTGGTTGGGTCCTGAAGAGGCTGAGGATGAAGGTGCAGGGGCAGAGGTGGTGGGGGCTCCAGCAGCAGTAGAAGCCACTGCCACAGCTCCTTGGCGGTCAATCTTCTCTACCAGCTGCTGCAACTTTGATGTCTCAGAGGGAGAGGCCCCCAAGGGCTCTAGCACATAGGGGAAGGGAAAGCTGCCGGTGGACTTGAAGTGGTTGGTAAGCAGTGCCCAGCTTGGAAGCGAAGTCACCAGCTTACTCAGCTGCATTCGGGCTGCTGTGCCACTTTCTGACACCCCACTGATGGCTGAGCCCTCGTTCCCTGGGGGAGTGTTTTCATCAGCCTTATTCTTGGGTTCTACCGCTTTCATGAGCACGAACTTATTGAAAGCAGGGAGCCCTGGAGCCGTGACTGTGCCTGCACCGGTGGAGAGCAGTGTCAGGCTCTCTGTGGCACTGAGGGCTGTGGTGGAAGCCACCAGAGGCTTGCGTTCCACGCCTCCACCTGGTGTGGCTGCCTCCTCCTCAGCCTTCTCTGGCGGCACAGACATACCATAGGGCAGGCCGCTGCTGGTGATGACATAGTCGAGATGCTCTGGCACCGGATGTGGGTTCATCTGCACATGCGGGTACTTCTCTCGATGGCGATGGAAATGCACTTTGAGGTTGCCTCGGGTGGTAAAGCGGTTCCCACACACATTGCACTTGTAGGGTCTCTCACCCGTATGGGAACGAAGGTGGATTTGCAGGGCGCTGTCACTACCAAATACTTTGGCACAGAAGCGGCATTTGTGTCTTCCACCAGGCTTCTCCAAGGGACCCATCACTTCCCCGTAGCCCAGCTCACCACTTCCGTTCTTTGGCTTCAGGAGCCCAGGGGAGGCAGTGGCCTCGAGGCCCCGGGCTGTCCCGAGGCACTGTGCTGCCAATAGTCCTGTGCTGCCTGGGAATGCCAGGTGAGGTGAGGCCATCAACTGCTCTGTGCCACCTGTCAGGGCCGAAGAGGGGGTGGGGGCAGGTTTGTGGCTCCGTCCAACCCCTCCGGCAGAGAAGGGATGCTGTGACCCCAGTGGGTGGTACAGGTGGAAGAAAGCCTGCTTTGGCGTTTCTGCCGCTGAGGAGGAGGAGGAAGAGGAAGGCGCCAGGGTCTTGCCAGACTGGACAGGTTTGATAGGGCTGAAAAGGGGCAGCAGGGGCTTGGTGGAGGAGGCAGTCCCGGTGCCAGGCAGCTCTGAGGGACTGGCGGGGGCGCCCGCGGCCTGGCCCAGCGAGCCCAGCAGCAGCACCTGCCGGCAGATCTGCTCAGTCATCTGCATCTGATGGATCTGGCGCTGCTGCAGCACCCGCAGCTCTTCCAGGATCAGAGGGATGTTCAAGTGGCCGCTGCCCACTCCTGCGGGTGGAGGCGGGGGCGGGGGAGGAGGGGGTGCAGGGGTGGATTCTGGAGGCAGGGGGGTTGCTCCCAGTTTGGGACTGGCCAGGACCAGGCCCCCACCTCCCCCAGCCGCTGTACCTGTAGCAGCGACCAGGAAATGCCCGGAAGACTCCTCTGCTCTCCGTTCTTGTCCCCAGGTAGGATCCATGGGCCCCGAGGACCCGGAATCTGGGGGGTTGCTGTGTTCTACATCCATTACCTGAGGGCTACTGTGGCCCTCAGGCCGGGGTTCAGACGCGGCAGAAGAGTTGTTGGGGTTCTCCTGACCCGCAATTATCACCATTACAGGAGGGTCAGTAGAACATGCGTTCTGGTGGGCGAGGAATTCGGCTGGGTCAGTGAACTGTGCGCAGCATTTGGCACAGACTTGGGGGCGGTCGCCCTCGCCAGCATCACCTGGGGAAAAGGAGAGAGAGCGTGGGTGGTGCGGACAGGCTGGGTAGCGGAGCTCTAATTAACAAGGAGCCCAGGAACCGCTAAGCGGGGATAGGCAGACAGATCAGCAGTAGGCCATACAGAATGGTGGCGCTCAGACTGACCCGGGTGCAGCCCAGCACCCGCCAGCGGAGGGCACAAGCACTTGCCTGGCTTCCTCCATAGTCCTCCGTTTCCGCCTCAGGGAGTGGGAATGGGGAGAGACCGGGCCGAAGCACCGAGAAACACTCGCGCATCCCGCCCGCAGGAAGTCCTCGCTCGGGGGCCCTTCGCCCCCACCTCTCCGAGTCCCGCCCTACCGCACCTCCGAGCTCCGCAGTCTCCCCGCAGGGCCCCCCGAGACGAGCGCTCCTCCCGGCTTCGTGCGCCATAGCGGTGGGGGAGGCGAAGGAGTACTGGATGGTGAGAGACAATGGGGGCCGGGAGTGGAAGGCGGCCGTGGCCGCCGGGGCTGCGGCAGCCTCTGCACCCAGCGACCCCGACTGCGGAGCTGCAGCGCTAGGCGGCTGGGGGAGGGGAGCGGGAGGCGGGGAGGAGCTGGAGCGAGAAAGCCGGGAGGGGAGGTGGGGTGCAGAGTGCGTAGGGAGGAGCTGCTGGGGAGCCCGGCGGGCGGAGGAGGTCCGGCGGGAGCGAGTGGGGCGGGTGGGGGCAAGGCTGCCTAGGGCCGCGCGGCTCCGGACAGGTGCGGAGAGCCTTGGTGGGGCCCACCTTTCTTCGTTCTCCGCCGACTCCCCCCGTCCCCAGATGTCTTTGCCCAGGCCCACCCCCGCCCCCCAGCTCAAGGGGCACAGTGGGAAACGTAGCCCTGCTCAATGGAGCTCGGCGATAGGCTTCTTTTATTTTACTTTGGATAAAGGATCCGCTGAGCCTGGAAAACGTGGATGCCAGAAAGGGTGGTCTGATCTTCGCAGAGGTCTGAGGCCAGGAGGGAAGAAACCCAAAACATCCTCTCTTCACCAGCACACCCCCTAAAATGTTCTCAAGTTTTGTCTTGTCGCCCTCACTTCCATTCCCTCATGACCCCCCTCCCTCGCCACAAGAAGTTTCCCCGAGTGGACGGCTGCAGTAAAATTTCCAAGGAAGTCATTTCAGGACGCCCTTTGGCAGAACCCTGAGCCCCTTTAGCTCCCCTCCCTTTGGCCCCCAGAATAATAGCGGCCAGCTCCCCCGGTCAGGACCTCATTTCTCGAGTGCAAGCTTAGAAGCCATCCCCTGTTTAGTACCCTCTGTTCCACTGTTTTCCACCTCTGTTCACCTCGTGCAACACTTGCTTAAGGTTCCGATGAAGGACGGTGATTTGGGGCGACTTTAGCCTGCAGAGGCCTAGGAGGTCCACCCAGCTCTGACCTGGGGGGAGGGGAGCTCCTTCTAAACAATAGGAAAATACGGTAGGAGCTACCCGGCTCCAAAGCCCCTTGCAGCCCCAACCTGGTTTAAATGCCTGGGAATGACAGCAGCCAGCTCACCTCCACAGAGGCTGATTCCTATACAGTGAGGGTAAGTAGGGGTAAGTGTCTCTAGAGACAGGCACTCTGCATTTCATTTCTTCCTGTGGAAGAGTTTCTTTCCTCTTCGTGAAATCCTTCAGCTTATGTGCAAGAAGTAACTGCAGGGCCTTGGTTTTATGACCGTCATCAAGTTTTGTAGACTGGACATCAGTTAAACCCACTTGTTTTTTTTTTTTTTTGGTAGTATTGGAGATTGAACCCAGAGCTTTCTCACTGAGCTTCATCACCAGCTCCCACCACTTTTTATCTTTTATTTTTCGACAGAGTCTTAGTCCTTAAATTGCCTAGGCTGGGGTCAAATTTACAATCTTCTTGCCTCATCATCCTGAGTGCTGGGATTACAGCCGTGCACTGTTAATTCTACTTTTGCCTGAGTGGTAAACTGAGGCATGGTGGTCAGTCATACCATATTATGGCACCATCTCCTTTTGTGTAAAGTGCTAAACTAATACAGCTGCATAGTCCTCCTCAATATTGTGGGAACAAAAAAGTTTGAAAAAGTTTTGATAAGTAATATTAATGAACACACTTTTTTTGTTTGAAGGGTCCTAAATGTTAATGATTAAAAATTTTATATTGTGAATACTAAAATAAAGTAACCTTAAATACAGAAACACTAAAGATTCTGTTTTTCATGTTGCAAATGCTAATTTGCTTTTTTTTCTTTTTTTGGCAGTACTGAAGTACTGAGCTACATCCATAGCCCTTCTTTATTTACTTATTTTTGAGACAAGCTCTCACTAAATCCCAAAATTGCCTGAGCTGAATTTGAATTTGTATCCTTCTGCCTCAGCTTCCTAGAGTGCTGGGGTTACAGCATGTGGCACCATGTCTGGCTTTTTTATTTCTCATCTTGGGGATTCAGGACCTCATGCTGCTGGATAGGTCATCTACCACTGAGCTCTAACCACAGCCCTAATCTTACTAAAGTCTGAGGTAAGATGTTGCTTAGTATCATTGGCATATACAGCCTAGTTAAAATATTAGCAATGACCACTTTACTTTCTTTCTTTCTTTTTTTTTTTTTTATGGCAGAACCGGGGATAGAACTCAGGCCCTTGCACTTGCCAGGCAAGCACTTATTCTACTGAGCTATCTCCCCGGCCCCCCACTTTATTTTCAATATAAATTTTACCTGTCTTTATAAACTGCAGACATCTTAACTGAGTTATATTTTGAAATTTTCTGATAATCTTAAGGGTCTTGGCATTGTGAATCACAGCTCTCTCTGTGCTTCTAGGCCTTTACAGATGGGGGTTGGGGGGAAGGTCTGTTTTAATTAGAGAAGTCACAGGTTTCCTTACAGATAAGGAAATGGAAGCTCAGAAAGGGTAAGTGACTTTTCCAGGTTCACATCTTAATTCAGGGAAACAAGCATTCACATTTTGCCTGCCTCTCCAGGGCTTTTTAAGCACATCAACATTGTGTGGCTTCCCATGTGGCTGAAAGGGCGCTGTGTGGCTCCTGCCTGCCATTTGCTCTCTGGCCTTGTAAGGGAGAAGAAATCAGATGGAGACTTTCTACTGAGCATTTGTTAATTAGCATGGAACATTTGATATCCAGTTGCTGTTTTGTCAAGTCTTCTGACAAGAAAAGAAATCCTTTTCTTTTCATCTTCTCCTGGGAAACACTGTCCCCTTTCTTGCTCTTTAATGAAACGTGCTTTCTGATGCGTAATTTGATCTGTATTCTTCTTTAAGGTAAATTTAGTCCCTGGTGAAAGGTGAGGGATCAACAGCCACCTGTAAGAGGAACCCTCCACTTCTCAGCACTTTATACTCGCTGCCTATGCTGAAAAGGGAAGCAGGATTCTTAAGCAGACTGGAATGAAGTCACAAACAGAGGAACAAACTAAGCTGGTAATGCGTCCCTAGATAGCAGATAAGGTGGAGCAAGCTCTCCTGGGTCACATGCAAAGTCTGGGGTGGATACAGGACTAAGACCTGAACATGTTTGTTTAAATTCACAAAGAATTGGAATGACAAAGAAAAAGAAAACCAGATAACTTTCCCTCTGCATCTGGTGCTCCATGAAACTGCTGCTTCAGGCTTGAGACAGAATGGTTAGTGCAACCAAACAGAAAACTAGAGGTGGGTCCAGATGCAGTGCAGTGGTATATTTGCACAGTGGTTCTGAAACTTTGCTGTTCTTTAGGATTACCCCTAGAGCTTTGAAAAATTCTGATGTCCCAGCTGAGGAGGATATAGTTGTATGGCAGAGTGTTTTTTTTTTTTTTTTTTTTTTTTTTTCTTCAATGCAGGAGTCCCAGGTCTAAACCCTAGCATTGTTAAAGAAAATAATAATAAACTGATATTTTGGGCAGGAGAGGTAGCTGAATGGTAAAGCACTTACTTTACCTGGGTTCCGACTCCCAGCACAAAAAAAAAAACACAAAAAACCACTCAGGCTTAAGCCAGGTGGTACATGCCTGTAATCCTAGCACTTGGGAGGCTGAGGCATGAGAATCACTGCAAGTTTGAGGCTGCCCTTGGGTAGAAAGTGAGTTCAAGGCCAGTCTCAACTTTGTAATAAGATCCTGACTCAAAACACAAAACCAAAAATACATACAATGTACAGCCAAGGATGAGAACTGAAATATTGAAGGGCTGTCTTTCCCATTGAACCTTCCACCCTACTCCTCATAAATCTTACCTGAGCTAAACCTGGCTAAACTGGAACTGATGCAAAAGTGCTCAGGGCTGCATCTTCCCACTCGGCTCCTTTCTCTGCAGCCTGCAACCTTGCTTTGGCTCTCTTGCACCCTTTCTTGGTGAAAAATCTACTTCTTTGAATATCATTTGCTTCTGACTATGCATTTAAAAAATTGCATTGCTAAAAAAAAAAAGTTATTGGGGGCCGGGGAGATGGCTCAGTGGATTAAGCGCTTCCCTGGCAAATGCAGGGCCTGAGTTCAATCCCTGGTTCCGCAAATTAAAAAAAAAAATTGCATTGCTTTTGCCAGTGAATGTACATCTTTGGCATTTTTAAAAAAATTTCAATTGACCATATTTCTAATTGTATTTATTTATTTATTTTTCCGGAACCAGGGATTGAATTCAGGCCCTTACACTTGCCAGAGAAGCGCTTATTCCACTGAGCCATCTCCCCAGCCCCCCATATTTCTAATTGTAAATGAAACAGCATTTTCATTTACATAAGCACCTGCCTGAGCATTCATACATAAGCACCTGCCTGAGCATATTTTTATTAACACTGTGCCAGCACTAATTGGTAGCTTTTGTTATTGTAAATAAATTGATTTTCTCGGAGCTGTGGATAGCTTAGTGGAATAAGCGTTTTCCTGGCAAGTGCAAGGGCCTGAGTTCAATCCCTGGTTCCACCAAAAAAAAAAAAAAAATTCTAACTGTTGTTAAATTTACCTCTTAGAATATCCCATCTTTGGGACTGGGGAGATAGCTCAGTGGCATAAGCGCCTGGCAAGAGCAAGGTCGCAAGGTCCTGAGTTTGATCCCTGGTACCGCCAAAAAAAAAAAAAAAAGAAAAAAAAGTCCCATCTTTTCTTCTTCAATCTTCTGCCCTCAGTGCGCACACACAATCCTTTGCCAAACCAGACTAATGCACCTATGGCTTGGGTAGCACAGTAGACATAGAGGCATATGGATTTGCATCATAACTGTTGCTAAGTGAGAAAAAAATATTTCAAGAATAGGACTTAGGTCAAGCATCAATACAGGGCATTATGAACTTTAAATAAAAGGACTCAGCCAGGGGTAGGTGTACATACATGTAATTCCAGCACTCTGATAGGCTGAAGCAGGAGGACTGCAATTTAGAGCCCATCCTGGGTAATTTATCAACTTAGTAAGACTCTCAAAAGACCTTTGGACAGGGCAGAGGTAGGTCAACATAAAGGCTTTGGGGGTCTGGCGAGATAGCTCAGCGAACTAAGCACCTGCTTTGGCAAGCACAGGGTCCAGGGTTTGATCTCCAGTCCCGCATGCCGTGCCCCGCTCCCACCCTGCTGGAGGGGGGTTCGCACTGAGCCTTCAGAGTTCAGGCATGGTGGTGCACACCTGTAACCCCAGCACTGGGGAGGTTGAAAACGTGAGGATCACCATGAGTCTGGTCTGCATATTGAGACCCTGTACCAAATACACAAGTAGGGGAAAAACAAAAGGCCTTGGGTTCAACCCCCAATAGTATTTTGTGGGAGAAAAGAAGAAAAAAAGGTTTAAGAGGGCCAGGGAGATAGCTCAGTAGAATAAGCGCAAGGTCCTGAGTTCAGTCCCTAGTACCACAAAAACAAACAAACAAAAAAAAAAGATTTGGACCTAAGTTACAGTCCCAGCCCTTTTTCATCTCTTGTGATCTTGGGAAATTTCTTAATCTCTTTAAGGCTAAAATTTATTCAAAATAGGATGGGGGCATCCATAAACTGGGTGTGTGGTGCTTAGCTATAATCCCGGCTGCTCCAGGAGACTGAGGCAGGAGGAATGCAAGTTTGAGCCATTCTGAGCTACTTAGTGAGTGACTCTGTCTCAGACAATAAAAAGGATGGGGATGTAGCTTAGTGGTAGAATGTTGATTGGTTCAGTCCCCAGTGCTGCAGGAAAAAGGGGTAGAGCCCCAAGAGGAATAAAATTCTGATAGCCAGGCATGGCAGCCCATTCCTGTAATTCCAACACTTGAGAGACTGAGGTAGGAGGATTACTCCAAGTTCCTGGCCAGCCTGGGCTACATAGTGAGTTCAAGGACAGGCTGAACTACATAGTGAGATCCTGTTTTAAAAAGCCGAAAAGAAAAATAAAATCAATACATGGTATAACATGAAAAAACCTTAAAAATATGCTAAGTGACACAAAAAGACAAATAAGATATGATTCATTTATATAAGGTAAGACTGGGCGTGGTGACATGCACCTATAACCCCAGCTCTTGGTAGGCTGTAAACTGGCAGATCACTACAAGTCCAATCTAGTAGTGAGACCCTGAACACCCTGTAGACCCTTCCCTAAAAAAAAAAAAAAAAAAAAAGAGGTTTAAATGGTATAGAATTTCTGTTTCATGATAAAAAGTTCTGGAAATACATGGCAATGGTTACAAGCATAGTGAATGCCCCTGAACTGCACAAGTAAAATGGTGTTGTCAGTTTTGTTATGCATATCTTAATACAATAAAAGTTTTATTTTTTTTTTATATGGGGTGGGTGGTGGTGGATAAACCAGGTACAGTGTCCAACATCTGTAATCCCAGCAATCTGAAAGAGGAGGAGGAGTTGGAGGAGATGTGTATAGGGGGCTATGAATAGGAGAATTAAAGGAGTAAGAGCGAATGGAAAAATGGCTATCATACCTGAACAGACCACAGATATGCGCCATGAAAGTTATCATTTGAGGGGAGGGCTGCCCAAGGTCGAAGAGTTTGGAGGTCTAGTCTGGATTGAAAACCAAGTTTCCTGCTTTTCTTTTTGGCAGAACCAAGGATTGAACTTAGGCCCTTGCGCTTGCCAGGGAAGCTCTTATTCAGTGTTCTATTCAGGCCTGAGTTGCTTTCTCTCTACGCAGACATTATTCTTCTGACCCCCACTCTGGGAAGAGGAGGGCACAAGCAGAGGAATGTGCCCAGGGGCTCAATAGACTGGGAGATGACACGCTACTAATGATATAAAGACAACCAAGCCCGCAAGACTATTTTTGCCTTCTTTCCTTTTTGCTGTTCTTGCTGTCTGCCAACTTCCATTTAAAGTACTCCCTTCTCTCCCTCCAGATCTGGCTGGCTGTGTCCTGGTTTCTCCTTCTCACTAAATATCTGGGTTTCTAATCGTTTCCTTTATTTCCCAGATGTACTAGTTTGCATTTTCCCAGTTACATCCCTTATGTTCTCTAATTCAGATTTCTAGACCCTGTAGGGGGGAGTGATTTTTCCCCCTTGCCCAGAGTTTTTAAGTAAATAGACTATTTCCTGCCCATCACTTACGCACAATAACTATTCTGTTAGGTTTTGGTGTTGTGGGCAGGAAGTTAAGCAAAAACAGAGCTGGAAAACAGGTTTTTCAGTCTGTTCTATGGTGCTGTGGTAGGTCAGCACAAACATCAATCTTTTACAATGCACAACAAAAGCTCAGCTCTTGCTTTTCCTATATGGTAAACATGCTTAAAATAAGGGCTGGGGGCCGGGGAGATGGCTTAGTGGAATAAGCACTTCTCTGGCAAGCGCAAGGGCCTGAGTTCAATCCCCGGTTCTGCAAAATAAATAAATAAATAAATAAATAAATAAATAAATAAATAAATAATAAAATAAGGGCTGAACTCCTGAGAGCATTAGTGACATCCTAGGCTACTGAATAAATGTCTACTGATGGTCATGGCAGTGGCCATAAGAGCAAAGGTGTGCAAGAGCCCCAGATTAGACCTCCCACTGCCCCGCCCCTTTTCTGTACTGAGAATTGCACCCAGGGCCACCTGTAGACCAAGCCAGTGCTCTACCACTGAGCTACCTCCAAGCCCCTTCCTACTGAATTTGGGGCCAGGCTTGTGGTAGAATAAAAGTCAGAAGCTGATCAAGTAACTGTCAAGGATTCTCTGTAAAGGATGATGCAGGGCCTCATACATGCTAGGCAAGCATTCCGCCATCAAGCCTTACCCCATCCCTCATGTCGATCCCTTCTATAAAAAGGAGAGAGTAATTTATACATTTGTAAGCTCATAAAAGCAGAAATTGTAGATAGCCACCACAAATTGTAGATGAGACTGAAACCTCAGGTCATGAAAGTAGTCAACGTCTGTCAGAGGAATTCTGATGAAACACTCCCTAGACTTCTCGAGGCAGGTTTTAACAAAGGTTATCAGTACTTTCTGGCTCCTTGTGTTTTGCCCTTCATAACCCATTACCAAAATTTGTTGCTTCCACTGGATTGCAGCCTTTATTGTTTCTATGGTAACGGTGGTTTTCTAGTAGCATCTCCCTGTATCTGTAACCCCACCCCAAGTGTCCATATCCCAAGAGGAAGTTACACCTTAAAGGGCCTGAAACTCCATTCGGAGCAGGTGCTAAAGATACCTTTTGACTGCCTCACAGAAAAATACTTCCTCGACTGGGGTATGGGGACCGGATGAGCAGATGGAGGGAAGGAGAAGCGATTTCTCTTGGGGCCAGGGGTGGGTGTTCAGCATATTTCCACAATTGAGCCAGCAGGGGAGAGCACTGTGAGGCAACTCTGCAGCTCTGAGGGAAGTCTCCTGTAGCGCGCACCCGGAGGAGACATCCGGCCTATAGCAGCATTAAAGAGGGTTAATGTGTCTCAGGAGGGAAGGATGCTGCCACCACGGAACCTCTAAATATGGGCGCAGTGGGATTACAGTAAGGCGGTGGTTCGGGAGGATGTGCCCTACTCCAAACTTAACACAGCTGTTAAGGCAGTTTGCTGTATTTGGAGTCCTGATTTGACCTGAAGTTATTCTTTTCACAATGGGTGAAAAAGCAAGTTTAATCCATGATTAGTTCTAATCACTACATATACAGTGTCTTAGAGATTTTCATGGCACATGTCTCCTAAAGAAATGCTTGAGTTTGCCTGGAAGTTCCTGAACTTTGGTCTCTCAGCACTTTCAGGAAGTGCTGCCGCATTCACACACAATGATATGCGCCCCGCTCACATGCAATAAGTAGTTAAGAACTTCACTGCATACATTAGGCACTTATTGGTGCGAGGTATTTTCCCTAAGGTTTTGCACACTTTTTTTTTTTTTTTTTTTTTTTTTTAAGAGTTGTACTAGGGTACCACGTCCTGGCGCAATAATAGATAAGTATGGGAACTACCTGAAAGACCAAGCATTTCAAATTTTTCCTTCATCCACTTTCCAATTAATAAGACCTTTCAAATTCTATCCCATGT